CACTAACCTGTGTAGACTTCTGGATTAATTGTTTTTTTAAGTGCTTTCCTCTTCAGCACTACCAGTGTCTGTAAAATCAAGCAGAGACAAATACACAGCACCACAGTTTCTGCCTCTTCTCACCCTGTGCCACACCAGGTGAGAGATTATTATTGCAGGCATGGTTTTGTGGTATGTGCTGGTTGGTCCGTACAGCGAGGATGGTTTGAATTCTGATTAATGACATCTCTTATAATGCCAGTTTTGTGCTGATAACATTGAATTGCTCTTCAGCAGACGAGCTTTACTGATTGTCTCCAAGTTTTAGATTTTTCTTTCTCATGCTTGGCTCTTTAGTAACACACCAAGGACTTAAGGAGAGAGTTATTTATTTGTTTAGCTTCAAGGTAGGAAATTCCCATGAGGAGGTTCACTTGATTCTAAACAAAAGCAGAACTGGAGATCTTCAAAACCTGGAAAAATCCCTGGTGAGGGGAGAAATGCTCAAAACTGTTATATACAGCCCTTATCTTTGTCAGTAGCATGACAGCTTTGTGTTCACCACACTGAAAAAGCAGCAGAACATAGGTGCCAACATGATCAAATTACCCCAGGCTGGTGACCCATGTCATGGCTAGAATCAGACAGATGCACTTGAATGACTTTGTTCTGTACATGATCTTCCCTGATGTCCTTCAGTGTTTGCTCAATGTCAGACTGCAGTTATTCTTCCTTCCAGCAAAACCAAAATGCAAATAAAATTAAGCACAGAGATATATGTTGAATATACACATAGCCAAGTGGAGATGGAGCATTCAGCCTGTGGTAAACGAGCCTCTGGGAGCTAAGATGTCCATTACAGGATAGAAAAATGAGAGCAAGGATATTTAGCAATAGTGGTGGGTTGCAGGATTAGGGTTTTTTTCTTGTTGTTGGGTTTGGTTTGTTTCTGGGGACTTCTTGTTTGTTCAAAAGCTGATTTTTAGCATGCTCCTTTGCTGACTTCCAGAGGTATTCAGGACATGTCTCTGGACTTTCCCTTTATTCTGCTTTGTCATTTTGTGTTGGCATAGCACAGTATCCAACTGGCACAACCCTGTGCTTTGTGCTGTGAATCCAAATGCTACACTTGCAGAAGACAACCCAGTCTTAGGAGTATTTTTCATTACAACACTTCTTTCTGTTGTGTCTGGCCTAAGCAAGGGGGTAAGCAGCCATTGTTGGTCTAGTCTCTCCCTTTATTTCATTTAGACACAAAATGTAGTAAATGAAAGTGTTTTTCATAAAAAGCACATATATGCCAGCATGCATTGTGCTTTCCTAAATGAAAAGGAAATATTTAAAACTAAGCTTGTCTCTTCTTGTGAACAGGTACATCCTTCTTGTCTTGCTTCTCTTTGACATTTCAAAGCTACTTTGAAGGCAAAGAAACTCTTACAGAAACACATTCAAAGCTATTTCATTTTTAACATTCTAACACTATATTTTATACCCTCTAATATATGTGTGAATGAACTAAATTATGGACAGAATATATGAGTCAGAAACGACAAAGCAGTATGTAAAGAGAATTTATGGCATTCCTTCCACCTTCGTTCATCCTGGTGATCATCTGAGTTGGGCACCAGGCTAGGACGTGTTTCCTGCCTCCGTCCCACACCTCCCTTTACAAACCAGAACAAATCAGTTAGCTCTAGCACCTCCTCTCCTTACCTGTGTTGAGCAGTTCCTCACTCTACAAATGGTCAGTTAAATACTATAGGGACCAAAACTTGTCTCCATCTGAATTAAAACTGTGTAAATACAAACACATCTGTAACAGTGGGTTGAAAGTACTTCTCAACGTGGATGTCTTAGGGGTGATTACATGTGTGCGTTTTAAGCCTTTCATTTCTATTTTTGAATGAAAATGAGAGACTCAGCCTCAGTATATCTGACACGTATGCAAAGGCAGCTTAGAATTTTCCTTTGCACACCTACTTGATCCTCTGTTTTAGATGCTTCATTTAAACTTATTTTCCGCTTAAAAGAGCACCTTCCCTCTTGTAAGAACCCCTCACAGGCTTTCAGTAGGGTTTTGCCCTCACAGGTGGGGTACTTCAAGCTTTCTTGAATACCATGTCAGTCAGAGACACTTGCCTTCCTTTACCCAGGGAAGCCTGGATAAAGGTTTCTCCACCAGGACCCTGAAAACTTCATTTTTCCACTCACCTCAACATGACTTCTGGTCAGCCCCCGCAGGCCCCACAGCTGTGTGTAAGACCCTGGGAAAGGGCTTGGGCTCTGAGTTCAGGACTGCCCTTGAGCACTTGTCCCATGTCACACAGGCAGGCAATGCAGCACAGAAATGATGTGGCACACTTGAGGAGCTCATTGAAGATGTTTAATAATTCACATCCTCCTTCTGCCAATTAATATATCCAATGCAGTGAATAGAACTAATTGACCATTTTATATTGGCACTAATAGCTGTCCAAAGTCTTAGTCCCTTGTCTATTGTACTAAGTTGTGGAAATTACAATGGCACAAACAAAAGTTTAGGTAATACACACGCAACATGACACGGAGTTGAACTCTAAGGAAGAAAAAGTTATTTTCACTTGCTGTTTACAGATAATAGCAACTTTGAAAAAATAAATTAGACATTCAGATCTTCCCCTGTTGTACATAGCCAGGTTTGTGCTTAACTTGAATAATTTCAAAATTTCCAGTGGCATTTCAGCTGTTCATTGAAGTGTACTGTAGGAGATAGAGACAATTTATTACACAGCTATAAAGGTAGTAGTAATCATCATAAATGCAAACCTTCAGATGTTTCTTTGTCTGTGCTTTAAATTTTTATTTTTTCCCCATCACTACGTCCAGTGAAGCAGTGATTGTAGCAATCAGTACGCACAAAGCCACCTCCTCCAACAGCTGCCAATATCCTAGCCTGGTTTAAACAACAGATGGGAGATATGTGCAGGCTAGGATAAGTGGCCACCTGTAAAACATTGTTCTAGGTATGTGCCAAACTGGCCAGTCATATATTCAGGAACAAGAGCAGTGAGAGAAAGAAGGCAGCTGTGCTGACCACCCACATCTGAAACAACAGAAAAACATTTACTCTCATGGATGGATGCCTTTGTTTTCTGCAGAGCTGGGAAAGTGTTCTTACACTACGCTAATGCATGCAGAAAATGAATTTCTGTACCTTTTGTGGTTGCCTTCCATGACACTGGGAGCATCTGTACCCTGGTTGCAACAGCAAAATCTTGCTGCCCAGGGTGCCTGCACCTCAACAGAGTGGTTCCAGTCTTTAAAGGGCACCTGCCTCAGCACTTGCAAATTTCTGTCTAGCACTATCTGTGCACTGAATTTTGCAACGTGTTGCAGTCTGTTCTTGCGAGGTCAGCTAATCAGTGAACAGCAACAGCCCCAGGTGACACGTTTGACTAACTGGCAGCTAATCAAGCGTATTTGAATTTTGCATGTCACATATTGGCAGCAAACTGTTCAAAACATACTCCTAAAATACATTTTGAATTAGTTTAAGAAATGCATTTCAGGCAATGCAGATCAGTTTACAGATCTGCAGGGTGGTGAAGTAGCTTGCATGCATCTGAAAAATTATGTCTGCTGAATAATTCATTCTATTTTTATTTTCTTTTTTCTTTATTTTTTATCAAATAATGGACAGGAATTTTTTAGTGCTAGTTATCAAAATGCTGCAGCTAGCTGTTATTAATGGTCACTTTTTCATTGTCTCTTCCTTTTTATGAGTCATTTGAAACATTAGTAATTATGATGTCTAAAAAGCTTCCTACTTTCAACATGTGAAATCAAATGGCTTAAGGAGTCAAAGTATATGAATATGAGTTGCTGTGTGCTGATTTTCACTGCACACCCAGTGAAAATGGCAAGCAAAGGATTTATCATAATCTTGTGACAGGAATACCTAGTAATTAGTAGAAGTTTACATATTTTTATTAGGTACGTAATTAGCAGCTAGAGATGTGTGTTGCAGAGATGGCCTAGATTTTATTCCTGTATTGTACCATTCAGCAGTAGACCCAATTTCTGAACTACTTAGGTGTACAATTACACAATGGAATTGTCCTCCTAAAATACATTGACAATTACCAGAATTTTGCATGCCACTGGGAAATTGCTCATACTAATTGCTATCATTAGCTAGTTGAATGCAAAATATCTGCAAATGCTTGAGGAATTAGACATGAAATGGATCCTCTTCTTTCAGGTCAACTGGGTATGTATTTCTAAAGGTTCAATGACCAAGATTAAACCTGTAATTAGGTTACAGATTTTTCTTCCATATACAAGCAAATGTCCACAAGAGATTTACATTTCAAAATGGAAGAAGTTGTTAATAATTAATTTGTTGGCTTTGTAATACTTAGAGAATATTGAAGACATTTCAATGAAAATATCAAGGAATCACCCTTTCAATACATTATCTGATCATTAATCATTTTAAAAGAAGTATCCTGAAAACTAAGTGTCTTGTGAAGAAGTCATGACACGGATCACTTTTTTTGGTGACTCACATCTTTATAGGATGCCTTAGATTATGGAAGACATCTCACAGGTGGAAAATTGTATCTAGATGTTGTTACCCTTGCTGGTTAACTCTAAGCACATACATGTATGTCAGGAGTACTGTTTGTGCCCATCACTTACAGGGTTTCTTTGTTTCTGACTACCTGTCCATCCCATCTGTCAGTGGTATTGGAAAGGTGTGGAATGCTATCGCTTCAGAAACACAGTTGTGTTTTTTACACTTCTGATTTGACATCAAGTCATGTAAAGCTACTTACCCAGCCAACATTTTCTCAACTTGTCAGCACAATAAATGAGCTGACATTATCCTTATTTCATAAATACACAAGGATTGTGTGATGACTGTTTCAAGTCTTGCTGTCCCCATGAAAAACACCTATTTATCCCTGCTCCTGGTGAGACCATTTGTGCTTAATGACATATATATATATATATTTTTTTTTTCCCCCCAAATCTTTCAGGATATCCAGTGAACACTCGCCAAAGCTTCAGATCCGGAGCCACAGTTACTTGAGGGCAGTGAGTGAAGTCTCGATCAACAGGAGCTTGGACAGCTTGGACCCCGCGGGGCTGCTGACATCCCCCAAGTTCCGTTCCCGCAACGAGAGCTACATGAGAGCCATGAGCACCATCAGCCAGGTGGGAGGGCATGCATGGGCAGCATGGACAAGAAGCACCAAGCCATGGAAAAGCTTGATTTCACTTTAAATAAAATCAGGCTGCTGTATGCTACATGCTTTCAAAACATCTTTTAAAAAAATGTTTTCATACATTGCTGTTTGTGAGTATAATATTTGATAATGACATAGCCTACCTTTTACAAAAGGATGAGTGGACAACATGCAGTTTGTTTGAATGAATAGTTTAACCTTTCATTTTTCTTTTCCAAAAGCAGGTGCTCATCAACAGTGTCTTTAAACAGGGCTTTCTTAAGGATCTTGTGTGTAGTGCCTGAAATCAAACTCTTTGAATACCTCCAAAAAATCATTTGCAAGCTGATTGTGCCACTAAGGGAAAATTAAGCCCGCAGTATTTCACAATATTTTAAGTATTTTATTAGATTAAATCTGTCCTAATGTATACATTCTAAACCCTGATAACCTCTAAACTTTTCACCTGTACAGTGCAAATATCACAGAATATACATAAAGAGCAAAGGTCTGTCCATAATATAACCTGAAGTTCTGTGGGACTTCTTAGTGCTCATCCTAAACCAGAAGAAAAATAAATCCCACTGTCACATACTCAGTTTATGAATTTCAGCATCATTAAATAGCCTGTCAGCCTGTCCTTGCATACAACATGCTTGTACAGTTGAATTGGTTAGGGACAGATTGGAAAGAATTGCAGAAGTGCTAGCACTCCACAGGGCAGTGCACCTGAGGGTCATCTGCTAAATCTTTTAGCTTCTTGGTATGATTCTGGCTTGTTTGCTTAAATGGATCATTTAGATAAATCCCTTGTTTAAAAGTACTATGTTACACCAGTCCAGAAGTGTAGCAGGCAGGTTTTGTGGTGCTGAATACTGGCCCCCTACCACTGACATGTCAAATCATTGAAATGTCAAAAAACTCGTGACGTTATTGATGCTAAGACTTCAGCTGTAACCGTAACAAATACATGGGCCATTCAGAACGAAACTGTAGTTTGAATTTCTGTGGTATTCTGTGTTTGGACATTGTAGCTTCAGGTTATTCAGCTGTGTGTTTTATAGGTGAGGCACTTCGCATAGGGTATGAGCTGATGCTCTCAAAGTAGGATTAGGATGTATCTAAAATAAGCAGCACTGAAATTCAAGTCCCAGAGGAAACCATAAGCATTAGGTTAGGTTAGCTTAGTTATTTAGCTTGATGTCTAACACTTAGAGCTGTCTGCCAAAGAGTTAGTATTGCTTGTCAATATAAATAAGAAAATAACAATCTAAAAAAAGTCTTACTTCATAGATGTTTATGCAGGGATATGGCTCTTCTCCACCACTGTAGAATTGTTAATATAATGTACTATCCAGCACTTTTCCATGCTCTTTTAGCAGTTTCCCTATGAAAAAAATGTTTTAGATGTTTCCTATTTCCATTTTATGTATGAATGTCATAATGTCTGCCTTACTAAAATTCATCCTGGAATAGAGTATTTAATATTTTTTTGCATCAGCCTAATATAATCTGGTGTCTTCTGGTATCTAATACTTTTCCTGGTATCATGGCTTTTTACATGCATAGAAAGTAGCAAAACCCTCAAGTGATGGTTTCTGTGTGCATGTTTCCTGCAGTGATAATTATGATGCTTTAATGCCAAACTAAGGGCTCCACTCTGAATTTAGAAACATGAACATCCATTCCTATGTAAGCAGAGATAGGTGGTTTCCAGGTTTGCAACATCTGCAGCAAAGCCACATGCTTTTAAATGTTCCTTAACCTGCGAGAGTGGAAGTCTTTGTCACCACCTAGTGTCTGCTCCACAAAGGGTCTAAGGTTTCCCTTGCACCCTTCAGCTCTCAGCCAGAGGTGTCGTCCAGGAGATGTAGTTATACAAATATTTTCCCCCTGCATCAAAACTGTTTGCCTTACCAGCCTCCCCCTTTTCAACTCTTTGCTGGCACATCTGCACTTGGGCTTCCCAGCCCCTCAAATTTATCACTGCGGTTGCCTGTGGGTTGCATTGATTGTGTCCCAGGGTTAAGCTGACCTTTATTTTCTTACCGCCAAAGAAAGAGTGATTCCAGTTTTTCAGTGTAATTAATGGTCATAATGGCTGGAGCTTCAGCCCCCCAGGGTGAGGTAAACCAGTTGCTACTGTGGGGACTCACAGCTTTCCACTGGTCTTGGCTGGAACCAAGAGCCTAAATACCAATCAATTTCTGCCTAAAGCCTCTTTTTGTGTATATTTTTTTTCCTTAACAATTATTGCTTTGGAAAATGGGATGTGTTTTGTGCAATTCATGTTCTTCATGTGCAAAGTGGCCTTTTAATAGAACTGGCCATCATGCCCCTGTTGCTTGAGGGTGTTCGTGCAGGATGGGGTGGTGCAGGGGGCATGCTGAACCTGCCCGATCTTTGTCCACAGGTGAGCGAGATGGAGGTGAACGGCCAGTTCGAGTCCGTCTGCGAGTCGGTGTTCAGTGAGCTCGAGTCTCAGGCAGTGGAGGCGCTGGATCTGCCAATGCCCGGCTGCTTCCGCATGAGGAGCCACAGCTACGTGAGAGCCATCGAGAAGGGCTGCTCCCAGGACGATGAGTGCATCTCGCTGCGGTCCTCATCTCCCCCGCGTACAACCACTACGGTGAGGACCATCCAGAGCAGTACTGGTGAGTAACAAAATGGACGTCCAGAGGGGTGGCAGAAAGGGAAGGTACCTTTCTGTGTGGCTCCATCAGGTCATCCATGAGATCTCTGCCAGACATAATGCCCATGAGAGAGTCTGTGTTTCAGCAGGGAGCTGGACAGAATAATCAGCTTAAAACCAGGCACAGACCCAGGCTGATGCAATTGTGTTGCCTCCTGTGTCCAAGCTAATTTATTCTGGGCTAAGAGCTCACAGAAGAGAAGTCCAAGGTCATATCTCCTCCTGCTCTCATCCCTAAAAGAGCAATCACAATTTAGCAAAGCTGAATGAGAAGGCTCTGTGTTAGCAGCTTTGCTAACTCTTACCAGCAGTGGAGGGTCCCTCTGCCAAGTTTTGCTTTGTGAGGTGATTTTCTTTGTGCTTTCTGAAAGTTGGAAGTTATTGGGTGTGTTGATTAATGGCTCCAGGAGACTGGTACAGCTTTTTTGGCTGTATTTTTGTAATGGGAGCGAAGGAAAGAAGAAAAGGTCTGCAGGTCAAAACATGTGTGTTCACACCCTGTTGTTACTCCTTCTACAGTTCAAACTACTCAAGCCTTGCAAGAGGGAGAAGTTTCGGTCTAAATATGAACCTTATCTCTTCTAGAACCTCTTCTTTTAAGGTTGCTTTTCTTTTGGAAATAACCATGATGAATTCCAGATGCTACTGCCAAAGTTGGTGCTTAGGGGGAAGGAAAAGCAAGTCAAAAACCAAAAGGACAGCAAGAGGCAGGAACCATCATATGCATGTGTATTTCACAGTGGGAGGATGAGGAAGGGCATTTTTCTCCTGATTTCTCTCCATCCATTCCTCTGTTTTACACAAGCTTCATTTACTATTCATGTACTGTTCATATTCATGACTAATATTTACTATTACAAGTATTTCACTGTGCCTAATACCTCTTTTCCAGGTTTTCTAATTTCTGTTTTCTGTATTCTAAACTTTTGCTTTTTTATGTATTATCTCCCAGGTACAGTTGTTTGTACGTTGTAAGTTCCTTATCTCTAACTCCAGTCTTTTTATAAAGCTGCTTGTCAATTGGTTTATGCCATCAAAGGATACTTTCAATCCTTTTAACCAAAAGTGTTCAGCTTAATTCATGATTTTTCTAAAAGTAACCAGTTTAAGCTCTGTTGGAAATACATTGGCAGTACATCACGAACATCAAAGCATTTTTAAGAAATGCTGCAGAGGAGTTCTCATCAAAATCACTAACCATTAAGAAATAGTATTAATCTCACAAAATTCTCTGCTGTGAAAGTAGTATGTGTGTGCACGAAGGGTTCGTACCGCACCACAAAGACAGGATTTAAGTAAGGTGTGTGTTCCTTCATTGCTGGGCTTTAGCTGGTGTCTAAACATAACTGTGAGGCAAAAGCTGAAGGATGGACATTTTCAGGGATTTTTCAGTGTGCCTTTGCCTGTGTTGGATCACCGTGGATGTATCAGAGTGATTTTTCATTTCTTTGAAAGTGATTGTGTTAGCACTTTTTCTAAATAAAGTAACTAACCATTTATCCAGAAGGTAATAACTTCTTTGCGGAGGGGTTGTTTCTGTCACTTAGAAAAACGGTGCCTCTCTTTGGGGATGTATGGGGGATATAAATGGGGTGTGTAAACAGAGAAGGGGGATATATGTATCAGCTAAAAGCATTTGGAAAACCCATAAGAGGAAAGTCTTTATTGTAAACTGTCTTTGGTCTACGTTCCTCTTTTGTAGTGCAATCACAAGCAGAGTCCTGGTCTCTTCTCTGGGCAGCTGGCTATATTAAAAAAAAAAACAAACACACAAAAAAAAAAAAAAATCATAGGAATAAGGTTATGCTATGGAAAAATGTAGTCCAGTGGGTCTGTGTCATGTTACTGCTTGTGTAGTCAGCCCCTTAAAATAGAGAGAGGAATGATTTGCAGCCCTCTCCTTGTACATCCACAGAAGCATTTGAAGCCTGCTGTAGGTATCTATTTTCTGCTGTGGGAATTTTACTGAGTTATCTTTCTCATTTTTTAATTCTTGGACTCCCAAGGGCCCATCCCTTGCAGTGGTAGCATTTCAGACAACTTGTCTCTTTTATTACCTGACTTACATACTTCTATCCATTTAATGGGGATTAGAGCTGAATTAATTCCATCCAAAAGTATCTGTATTGACTACCTTGTTGTTGCCTGTGGCTGGCTCATAGAAAGAAAACAATAACAGGAAAGACATCATTGATGGTTTCTCTTAATATCAGCCTCTATAAAATGGCACAGCAGTGAGGCAGATATGAAGAAAGAAGAAAGATATCTCAGACTTATCTCCACTGAGGTGATGTTTCAAATGCTTTTGTGGGAGACAGAAGGGCAGTTATGATCTAAACTATGGATTTAACATCCCCAAATGAGAGAGCAGTCCTTCCACTCCAGAAACACCTTTGCCTGTTCAACCAAGGAAGGTTCATTTCATCAACATTAGATCTTTCTTCGGGGACTAATCTACAAAGCTCTGATCATACATTGACAGTGGGAATTTTGTTGCTGGCAGCCCAGGAAAACACCAACTTGATGGTAATAGAAAAGACAAAAAGGTGCTATCTGTCCACTGGATTAAAAATTTTGCCTCCAGAGCAATGGCCCACAGCCTTCCAGGGCATCTGAATAAAAATATTAAGTAAGCAGCATGGACAAAACCATACCTCTGCCTGCTAGCATGTACTACAATGGTTGCTGCCTCAGGTTTTAATTTCCTTTTGCCCCATAGCATGGAGGTTTAGTTCTGAAAGCAGTAGTACATGTCTACCAGCGTAGCTGTTTGGATGTGCTCAATCTAACCATAAAGCCAGCACTAATATTCTGGCTGTGGGACAGAGCTCAGTGATGGCTGGGTGCCCAACTGGTGGTCTCTGCAGCCTGCTCTGGTCTTCCTGCAGCCGAGGCAACGCAGTGGGGTGATTGCATCTGGCTGAAACCTAGCCCGGGTGTGAAAATGAGGCTGTAGGCACAAAGTTCTTGTCATCACCAGAATGAAATGCTAGACTACAAGTGGGAAAAAATATCCTACCCTCACCAAAGTGAATGTTTCTGCATGTATGTGGGAGTCATGCACTTTGTTCACAAGATGGTCTTGTAAGTGAAATGGTATTTTATCCTTGTATTCAAGCGAAGGGTTTTGAAATGAAGAAAAGAAAATACAAACTTACCACTTTATACAGACATAGAAACATTTGGGAAATGAGTGCCACATCACAACTTCATCGTGCCTGGAAAGCTGGGAGGTTGAAGCAGTCCAACAGCCCCGATATTTGCTCACTCCACATTAGTCAGACCCATGGAGGGAGCTGACCCCACACCACCAAGCTTGCCCCCAGTTCTGGGCTCTGCAGGCTGGGAGCTCCAGCAGCCCTCAAGTGCCGGTATGCATTGTACATCTTACAGCATAGCCTGCACTAAAAGCTGCCACCCATGTCATCTGGTCTCTTCAGAGTTGTTTAATGAGGTGTGAGTTAGTACATTATTTGATCCCAGGTTATTTGCAGATGAAGCCATTGTAACTGAAACTCCTCAGCCAGCAGATTCAGTCACTAAATAGGCAGCCTTTTAAGAATTTAAAAAGCCTTTAAATCATTTCAATGTGCACAAAGAGCATGGCAATTAAGAAACAATGAAAATTTAAAGCAGTCTAAAGAACATCTTTCTCCCACATTGCTTGTATTTGACTTGTACGATGCAGAAGAATTTTGTAGGTCATGTTTCTACAGCGTGCCTGTGCAGCCATGCTCACTCCTTTGCGGCACAGATAAACCTTATGATGTTGTGAGAGTTCAACCATTAGCACACGTGGGTACAAATACATAACGAAGACTGGATATGTTTAAGTGGAAAATGCGTAGCTGAGCTCAAGCTGTAACATCAGGAAAACTCTGCACTAGATTGCAATAGGTGTTTTCTCAATATCTAACTTCCGTACAGCCAGATAAACAGAAGTATCAAAATTATCTGCAGCAATGCCATCTGGTGATGCTCAGTAATATTGCACTTCTGATTAAAAGCAAAGCAAACAAAAATCCCAAGGAAATCGTGCTGTGTAGCCAGCAGGTTAGAAAAGGACTGAGAGTTATCACAGTGTATGCTAATTATGGTGCTTCAGCTGAGCAAGCTGTTCTCTTTCCGTTCTTCAGAACATCTGACCAAGAGGGGTCAGGTACTTTGTGGAAAATCTCTAAGGGACTGACTGCCTAGCCAATGGGAAAAAAATGCAAACAACCTTAAAAATAGACTTATACCAGGCAGAATTCAAAAATAAAACCAAAGCCTGTGGAGAAGGAGGCTGGAACTGACTGTATACCAGCTGTGTCCAAGCTCTCCAGGACTCCTCAGAGCTGTCCTTCCAAAGATTGTTCTGTTGAAAAAGAAATAAGGAATGAGGGTTTCAGATTTGATTTCCAAATGAAGCCAGGATTGGTTTTTGGACTTCTACCAAAATGAAGGTATCTCCACAGAAGGCCTGAAGAAATATAATAATAGTTAAGGCCTTCCTGCAGATGTTGAACTTAAAATAGATTTGGAAAGTGTAGAAAGCTGTTTGACAAAGAATTTACACGGTTCATTTCCTCTGTTTCCCTGAGTAATTCTGAAATGCAGTGTGCCTTTGGATCCACTATCAAATTGCTTAAACCAGTGCTTAAAAATGTTTTTCTTTACTAATGAGGAGCTGACCCTGGAAGAGAACACTGTTTCTAATTTCAGAGGCATCTGACTGTAGATAGAGCAAGTTTCATCTTGTCTATTCCCAAAGTTAGCTTTGTGAATTTTAAGCTCCACATCACATACTCGCACAAACACACACATGCATACACACACACACAAAAAAAAAAAAAAAGTTTATGAAGCTAGTAGAGGTTTTTAATGAGAAAAACTGAGAACACAGTTCTTGCTGGCAGATTTCTAACTGACCTGGACCATGATGCAGGCACTCATGGAAACTGCTCTGATGAAGAGTGAGAA